CACCCCCCAAAAAGCGCTTTTCCCAGCATCTCCGGAAAAAAAAGCAAGAAGGAAACCCAACAAGCAAAAAAACCCAATTTGAGATGTGGGGACTGAATCAACCCGGGGTGGGCACAGGATTTTTTAATCGCTCAGCATCCATCGGCGATGGCGGGGCGGATTGGGAGCAGAGCTGCCTCCCACCCCAAAAAGCCTTTTTTTTTTTTTTTGGTAAGTTTGATATACCAAAAACTTGATATAGTTTACCAACTGAAAAGCATAGAAACTGCAAAAGAAACCAAATCCAGGCTTTACAAAAAATCCCCAAAGAGTCTACATCCGGAGGTGGGGAGAAATCCTAAAGTCCTCGAAAAGGGTATTTGAAATAAAATAGCACCCTTTGAAATCAGAAGCGGCAAGTATTTACATTCACCTCCCACCAGGAGAGAGAGCGCGCGCGCGCGCGCTAAGGGCGCAATTCTATACCCATTTCTCTGGAAGCAAGAGTTCTTAAACTCAGTGGGGCTTATTGCTAGGTAGACACGTGCAGAATGGTGCCCGTGGGATCTCAGGGAAGGGAGAAAGGTAGAAAGTGGGGACAGAAAGAGAGAGGGAAGGAAGGAAGGAGTAGGTAAAGTGATGGAACTACAGATAATCCTGTTCTTGGAAAGAAGGAGCAAGAAAAAAGGGCGGGGGAAGCTGTTATGTATGACCCCCACTCCAAATATTACAGTATTTCGGGGGGGGGGGGAGGCAGTGACCTCCCTAGAGAAAAGGGTGCAGAAGAAATGAAGTCTTTCCAACTGCCAAGCAGTTGGTCCTGCACCAAGCTGCATTTTGGAGGTCCTGCTCCAGGCTTACTATCTGCATCCTCTTTCTCTTTTCATCCTCCATTCTCTTTCTCTTCTTTCATTTTCTCAAAGATCTCATTCCAGAGGCAATGCCCTCGTCCCACTTACTGCTCACCAAGTGCAAATTTAAGATGCTCCATCTCACTCTATGGCCACAGAAGGCGTCATCCCAACCCTCTGGAACGCTTAGCAAAGAAATACTAATTTTGTTGTATTCAGAAATGATAAAATGCTGTTGTAAAATAGCAGTAATATCGATAGAGGCATTTTAGGAAAAACGAAAGCGCTTATTGCCCCCACCAACTTCAGCACGTTTAGACCTATTGAGTTCAACGAATTTACGACTAGGTAATTGGGCATGCATTTTTTTTCCGATTTATAGCCTGCCTTTTTCCTACAAAGGGCTCAAGGCAGCTTACATCCTCCTCCTTCTCCATCTTCTCCCCACAACAACAACCCTGAGAGGAAGGTTGGGCTGAGAGGCTGTGACTGGCCCAAAGGCACCCAGGTGGCTCCATGGCCGAGCGGGGACTCGAACCCGGATCGCCTGAGTCCCCGTCCCACGCTCTTCACCACGACGCCACACTGGCTCTCTCAAGCGCAGTGTCTTAGGACGAATAATTGTGGGGTTGTGCAGAGAGCCAAAGCCAAAACTTAACAGCCTAAAAAGTGAGAGCGTTTTCCCTCCCACGTCTGGTAGGCCCAGAGAGAGAAACTTTCTCTTTCTGGCTGTTTTAAAAAGAACACTATACCAGGTTGTTCCTCGCAGCAAGCTTATCAGGTCAAATAGACCCTTCTCCTCGGAAGAGGCTGAACCTCTGCTGAGAAACTCGAACACGCGCGTGCTTCAAAGCCCCTAAAATCCCCTCTCTTAATAGTCCCTCTTCCTTCTTGCACCGCTTTCCCCTAGATCTCGGGGTCCCCGCCTAGAGACCTCCCCTGTATCTGGGCATAGCGCAAAGTGTGCTTTCCTTCAACAAGGGAGGAAATGCCTTCCTGAATCGTCCTCCACGTCCTGATGAGCAAGGGGGAGAATGCTTAACGTTGGAGAGGCGTGGAGGCTTCCGACGAGGCTTCTCGCGCCCCCGCCCCGACCCCACTTGTTAACTGCATTCGCGCGTCGCCGCTCGCGGCCTCAGCGGCACAGGCGCTCTCAGAGATCCCCCAGCCGCCTGTTTCTCCCCAAGGAGGGTGCGGAAAGGGGCTTAAGGCAAGCGGACAGAATGAGAAATTCCCAGACGCAGGGCGGCGTGGGGCGGGGGGGGGGCGCTCTCAGAAGACGTATGCATTGTGATTTATCTCGCATTTTTCACAAAATCGGAGGCTGCTTAGGAGAGCAGAAAGCCTCTACCCTGGCCTTCCAAACCCTCTCGGGAAGAAAGGGAACCCTGTAGTTGTAATATTTATTCTGAAGTCACTGTTTACGCCTGGGCCAGCCGCCCAAAGCAGGACTCTTCCTGGGCGTTCACCATGAGGACTAGCGAGTTGTTGAGGCGAGGAATGGGCCAGCTAAGAATACATGCCAGTTCAGGAGCAAGTCCCATGGAGTTAAAAGAGGGTTCTTCCCCACAAGCATTGAGAGAAAGTTCCATACCTGAATAGACTTTAGCCTGTATAGAGATGCAGTTTATAAGCATCAGTTCTGTGTGTGAAAGAAGTGAGAACTTCGAAGGTTAAAAATCTGGAGTCTTAAAAATATTTTAATTAAGTGCCTGGAGCACCCTTAAGCGAAAAGACGATGTAGGAAAAATGCAATCATCCATAATAAAGCATTATTTTTTTAATGAAGAACAGATCCCATTACAGTGATGTTTATAACAAGGTTAAGGCGAAGAAAGTGGAGGGTATTTTTTAGAAAATCGCAGAGTTGGGCGCCTTTACCAGAAGGGTACGATTTAGGATGTATCAACCTCCCTACTGTCAAAGGAGGAAAGATGGGGAGAGGTGACAGTCTCACAGACAGCGGGCAAAGTGTCAATGGGGCTGCAGAAAGGTGGCCCCTTTCAGGGTGACGCTCCTGCAACCTTATCTGAAACCTCAAACACAGCCCAGGTGTGAGGAGTTGCTTTTCTGGAGTGTCCTGGAAGCGCATCTCCCGTCAGACCGGGCAACCGCCAATGCTCCCCCTGAAATGACCCATCCGCGGGCATCCTTATGTTTTGCGGGAGGGTGGGATGCCAAGAGGCGCAGGCCCGGAGGCTGACGAGCACTTCGGGCGCCACTTTCGGGAGTTCTGTCCCGATATCTCTGAAGGGTGTCTGGGTACGGAGCCAGGGGGATTCCCGAGGCGGGTAGCCGGGCTTCGATGGCTTTCCCCGACCTCACCCCGAAAGCTCTTCTAACTCCGCAGTGCAAAAGCATAAGGACTCGCTTCGCCTCGCATTCCCTGCTCGTTTTGAGATTTTGCTGGGGGAGGGGGGTTACCTCGGGGAACCCACACCGACGCTGGAAAGAGGGATGCTTTCAATTTGGCACGAATTTGAGGCGGGGGGAACCCAGCGCGCAGGAACCCGTGCGGGGAAAGAAGCCCGAAGGAGCAGTCTGCATCCAGACACGCGACAGTTTCCCCTTGGGATAATGTTAAGGGAGTTTCCGCAGGCCTATTGGGACCTCCACCAGCTGCTGGCTTCTAGGAACGGGCCGGGGAGAGGAGGGTAAGGGCCCGATTCCAGGTAGATGTAGCTGCTCTCTTCCCAAGAAAGCACGCATTGGAACGCAAAGCCTTCCACGTCGAGGGAACGGATTAGGGAGTGAGCTCTGAAAAACGAGTACTCAAGACTTTGCCGAGGGACAGACAGACGCTGGGCACCGAGGAAGCCCCGCCGAAGCAGCGGGGCGATATCGCGCACCTTTCCCCGGGAACAATTCCCCATGAGCTCCAAGCCTTCCCTTTTGGGAAACGGTGGCTCGGGCTGTCCTTTGAACCTGGGGAGGCCGAGCTGCCGAGAGAGAGCCGCATCGCGCGCCGGCTCGCCAACATCCCACCACGCTGGAAGTGCGAAAAGGGAAGGGCAGCGAAACGGGGCACAGCTGAAAAGCGGACTCTCCGTCTTCCAGGAGTGGCGGGCGGGCAGCGCAGGCCGGGAAAAGGGCAGCGCGGAGCGAGTCGTCCCCTTGAACTCGATGCGACTTCACTCCAAGTGTCTGGGGAGGAAAGATTGCAGCAGAAGCGCGCAGGGACCGCCCCCAGTTTCAGAACTGGGATTTTTTGCCGAGAGGGAAGTGGACGGAAAAGGCTGAAGGCCCGGGGGGGGGGAGGATGAGCGGGGGCGCTCGCCCCCTCGCCCGACCACTTTGTGACCCGCAGTGCCTCCGATCTTTGGCTGGCGAGGCGGCCTGCGTGCCTGCCGCAGGGCCCGGTTCGCGGAGCCAGCCAGCCAGACAGGCGGAAGAAGCGCGGACGGTCGTTGCATTTTCGCGTTCGGCGCGCAAGACCCGAGGCTGCGGGGGTCCCTCCAAGCGGCTGGGAGATTTTCCTCTGGCGCCGGAGAGGGCCGGATTGGGGCAAGAGCGGCGCGACGCACCGGCAGGGCCGGGCGACTCTCGCTCTTCCTCTACGCTGGGCGTCATTTCCAAGTTCAGCTCGCTCGCTCGCCCTCCCTCCTCCTCCGCCCTCGCCGCCAGAGCGGCCATTTTCCGCTACATCTAGGCTTTGCTGAGCTGGCTGCCGGCAGGGAGAGGGGAGACTGCCGTCCTTCCCGTTCCCCCCGCCTCGCAGATCTTACGCATCTCCCCCCTCCCCAATTCCATGCGTAAAAGCGCACCAGGCAAGGCGAAGTACCCAGACCCTCTGCAGGCTTCCAGCGCCAGGCTGGTCCTCCTCCCCCGTTGCGCATTCAACTCTGACATTACCAGCACTTTGCACCAAGGGCGGGGGCGGGGGGCCGCCTGCGAGGGGCCGAGGCACAATGGCAAGCCGGCGCCTCTCTCCAGCGCGCGGCGTGCTCGAGGAGGGGGCCTCCCCGCGCACCTCCGCGCCCATCGCTCTGCCTCCCCCGCCATAGGGCCCCCGCGCGCTGCTCTTTCCCCGGCTCAGGCTTCCGACACAACTGCCTCACCTCGGTTTCCCCCAGCCCACCTGCCTCGGACTCCCCCCCCCCGCCCCGTGTCCTCCGAGAAAATCCGTCAACTTCTGCCCCGCCACACCCCGACAACGGGCACCAGACTTACCATCACCCAAACGAGATTGGGCGGAGGAGCGCGTGGATGCCAGCGGAACCCTGGGTGGGGGCCAGGAGGAGAGCGCCTTTTTAAGGTCCCACCAAGTTTTTTTTCCGTTTAGTTAAAACAGAGAGGGCTGGATAGAGGACGCAGGAGGGCAGGGAAGCGCTCTCTTCGCTTGGTGGTCTCATTTCAGCGCTCGGTGGTCTCACGAAGCTTCTTCCAGCGGGCTTAGCATCCTTCTAGGGGAACTGGGCTCCTGGCAGGGTCCCAAGGAGAAACCCATCATGCTGCCACCATGCCCAGATTTAAAGTGGGTGGCGGTGCTTTCTTTCTCTTAACCCCCACCCCCTTTATCTTCAGTGGTTGTTTAGTTGGTGGTTCACTTCCTCCAGGGACGAAGAATGCTTGTAACTCTAAAGATACGGAGAGATCGCAAGAATGAAGCAGCTGGAAAAATGGGGCAGAAGAGTTGTGTGTGTCGCCTGGAGGGGGGGGGGGAGGCTCCTCACTTTTCCTGGGACGCCCCACCCTCAGCAGTGGTCTTGGGGTTGGTGGTGGGGAATTGGCAAAAACAAACAAAAACCAGATTTCAGGATCTTCTTTTGCTACTGCAGGAAGGTGGCTTAACAGAAGCGGTGGCGATTGTACCAATCGGGGGAAACACACAGATACAAACCGTCCACCACCAGAATGTCTTCTTTTCCCTTGGCAAAGAAGATACCGAGGGGGGGACCCTCACGTCTCCCCCCTCCAGGCGAGCGCGGCTCCAGGAGCACCCATGACCGACCTCTCTGATGCTCTTCCTCCCCCTCCCTCCTGGGCTGCTAAGCTCCTCCCCTCTCCCCTCCCCTTTGATGGAGGGGAATTTGGAGGCGTCTGGCAGTTCTAGAGTGGGGGGGCAGGGAATTTATCGCCCCTGCTCCCCTCCAGCTCCCAAAGATGATCCAAGGGTGGCAGAGCTTCCCGGAGAGAAGGTGCAAACCAAACTAGCCATATAACAATAAAAACTCACTCGAGGAAGAAGAGGCCAAAGCGAAAGAGGAAGAAAACATCTCCAAATTGGCCAACTCTGCCTCAGAGACATGCTGCGCAAAGAAATGCTACTGGAAAGGTACAATTTAAATTGCATTTAAATTACATTTTGTTGCAACGGAAGATATTAGTGAACGGACCAAGGTGTGCAGCCAAGCTGGTTTTAGGTACCCGCCAGGGGGCGCTGTTCCCCCGTGCGCCACTTCAGTGGGGAAGCCGGCGACTGTTCTTCCCGCAGCTTTGGCATCCCTGGCTTTGCTGTTTTTCATACAGTAGAGCCGAAAAAGGAAATTAAACCCTGTTTGTTTCCCCAGAGGGGTCAGCAAGTGCTGATTCACAGTTTCAGCTCAGAGCTTACTGTTACGACTACAGAAATCAAGTCATTATTAAGTTGCACTTCTATCTTGCCTTTTCTCCACCCTTGCAAGAAACACAAAACAAGTTCTCTGAACTACCCTCACAACAACAGCCCTATGAGGTAGGCCAATAGTGTGTGACTGGCCCAGAGTCTCCCCGTGAGCTTTGTGGCTGAGTGGAGACTAGAACCTGGATCCCCTGAGCCCCAGACCTGAACAAGTAGCCACAGAAGCTCCTGCTGCTCCGGCCTACTTGGAAATGGGTCTCACTGGGTCACAAGGTGAGCACTGCATCCATGCACCTGTGGTTCTCAAACTTTCCTTCACCATGGACCCCCTTTAAATACCTTTTGTGGCCGCAGACCCCCAAGACATAACTCAAGATTTAAAGCACGAGACTGCATCAAATATTTATTTCAATTTTCTCAAGAAAGGCCTTCAGATTTGGAGAGAAGGGGAAATAGGTTAACCTGTTAACATACACACTCCTGTTATTGGTCAGACTAGATGGCTCTGTTTCTATGTTTCTGTTATAATATCTTTATTGCAATGATTCCATACGAATTTCAAATAATAGTATCAACACTCTTTTTGCTTGAAGGGCCCATTTTATGCTATTTTGACGTGCTAATTCATAGCCAATTTATACCTCTGATTGTTTTTAACTGAGGCAATAGGTTAAAAAAGCCAAGTTTTACAAAACAAAACAATCTTACAAAATTAAGCTTCTGTTCTATTTCCCATCCCCTCTTGCTTTCATTCATTCACTCATTCATTCAGATTTAACTGCAAAAAAGCAACATTTCTTCAAGACTTAGCAATCCCCCTGTGACACACGACCCCACGGACCACTGGCTGAGAACTGCTGCAATGCATAATCATGGACTCCCAGACTATTTAAAAGCAAATAAATAAAGATATCATACAAGCACCGTGCCCCATCACCTCCTGGACATTGGCACCCCATAAGTTGGGGGGTGCTACAACCCCAAGGTCTAGTCCTAGGGGGGAAAAGCTGCGGCACCCCACTTCTCACGCCACTCCCCCAAAATAACACTTGGATTCCAGGGAAACAGTTGACCCACTGGTGCTTCAAGGGACCTCCATAAATCACCCCCCCCCCCCCCGATTTTGGCCGCGGGGAAGACTCTGGCTCGCTAGGAAAATGTCTGCCCCCAGATAAGCAAACATCTGCATTTTGGTGCATCTCTGGGCAAAACTGCACTTGGGGTTAAAATTACAACAGAGGGTCCCTTGAATCTCTCCCCACCTGCGCGGGTGGCAAATGCAACTTTTGGGGTCTAGTTATTCTTCAGTCAAGCTGAAATTAAATGTTCATTAGGGCCGTTATCCCACCCCACCCCACCCCACACACACACACTTCTCAAGCAAGAAAGAAGCTTTAGAAATCTGGAGTGGGGGTGATTCTGCCTGTTTGGGGATTCGGCTTTGCTCCTTAAAGCATTGTTTTCCCAAAAACATGGGAATGTTGCTGTGAAATACCAAGTCCTGGAAGGGACTCTGTGTATGGCCCATGTGCACTGCCTGTCACACACAGAGTCCATTTTATGCACATTTATTCAGAAGTAAGTCCAGCTCTGTTCAAGGGGGTTTACTCCCCCAAGCCAGTCTATTACAGACTTCCAGCGCTTTTGTTCCCCCGCTTTTTTGCACATGAGCTGCCCCTCACTGGCCCACCTGCCACCAAAACCTAGCTTCTACTCATGCATGACCTTCCTCCGCCGAAACTTCACACTTCTTTCATCTGAAAGTTTTGAGCTGCTTCTTTCCCTTTCCTCCTTAGTTCAGCACCTTCCAGACCTTCCATCCGAGAAAGCACCCCAGACCATCAGGGATCCTCTTCTAAACTTAGCTGCTGAAGCTTAGATTTCTTGCTTAGGAGGCTATGCAATAAATTAAGAAGGCATCTCTTTCTTGCCTTTATCCGCATGTGTGCACAAGAAGGAAGTCTGAATCAACAGAACTAGCACTGTTAAGATAAAGCTTAAAAGAGAAAATACTTCGAGATTTGTTTGGTAAAGAATTTTGGGCATTCCCGAGCATGAACAAGACACTAAGGAGATATGCGCCTATCTGGCTCAGAGAAGCAGCCTTCATCACTACAACTAATTTTGATGAGCAATCACATACAGTTTATTGATTGATTGATTCATTCCAAGTCTTTAGAAACCACTTTTTCCTACAGAACAATGTTTCAGAAAGAGGAATGTTGCAAGAGAGAATCAGGTACCTAGAGGAAAATGACTCCGAATCACATAACCCATCCAAAATCATTAAGAGAAATATTTTCAAGACATTCAGACTGAAAAATCGAAATGCCAGAATGATGGGGCAGCCACTCTGAAGACTCTGTGCTCCTCAGTTTTGCCAGCAGGTACATGGTCAGATTTTGCAGGGACAGGAATAGAAAGGTAACCCAAAGCACAAAGCTCTTGGGCTTTAAAAGACAGCACACAAACTTTGAATTAGGCCTAGTGCAAATTGCAATTAATTCCATGGCTAAGGTTATAAATGGAATCAAAGCCCCTTCTTTGGACACCTTGTAAATACAAAGTGCTTGCATCTGTGTGCAAGCATCTGTGCACAAGAGAGTCTGAGAGTTCTGCTCACAGATCCCTGAGAGTGCATTCTATACATATGTATTTGTACAGTCAGACATACTGCATTCCATAGGACTTACTTTTATGTAATAACAGGATCCCAATGGGGCAGTGTTCTGAGTAGACCCACACAGCAAGTCACTGCTTGTCTTACTGCATGTTTCCTTCATCTCTGTAGGAAGGGTGAAACACATATCTTCTAGGTCTGGAACAAAGGGGATACAATCCAGCGAAGGTAATCCCAGATCATCCATGGTGCACCCAGGATCAAAGAGCTCATAGGCAAAAGCCATCGGGATCTCTCTCTGGGACATAGAAAGTAGACCGTTTCCTCTGCTGCCTCTCAAGACTGCAGGCTGGCTCAGGGAAAAGCGGAAGGACTCCTCGACTCTCTCCTCCCAGATCTTGTTCTTGTTCCCCAGTATCTGCAGCCACCCAAGAAAACTCCACCACTTGACCTCGCTGATAACTGAGTATGAGTTGACCTTCCCCAGCCTATTAAGTCTCCACTTGAAAGCAAACTAAGCTAAGCCTATCAACTAAAACCGAATTCTCACGAGATCTAAGAATAATTATTAAAAAAATAAATAGAGCAATAGGGTGTCAAACACCTGTTCGTGTGGACAAGAAACGGCTGGCAATCCCGCCTCCTGATTCTGTTGCTCAAAATTATATACTCTAATTAATATGGGGGATGGGTATAATTCTACTGACGGTAGCAGACTCTTGTGTCCCAGAAAACACTTAATAGGGTGAGGAATTGTTTTGTTTTGCTTTAGATTAAAGTTTCTTGGTCTTGCAGTTTGGCTATTTTGCTGGCAAGTCTTCAGAAGAAAGAATTATGGACTGAGAAATCTCAGTTTCTGATATTCAGTGCTTACAAAGCACCAAAAATATTAAGCACCGACCAGCTATATGAAAACAAGATGTTTTCTCTCCTTGGGAGAGGAAGGGAATAGATAGAATGCAGGAGGACAAGAGAAAGGGCAAGAACGGGAATGAAAGCTTTAGAGGAGCAGTTCTTGGGTTCATAGAAGGGTTGGGTGGTCTTTCTTGTAATAGGTGTCCCCCTGCAGTAGCTCCTTTTGGGGCCACGATGCCCTTTCTGATGGGCAGACTATGGAGTGGCCCTTTGCTTCTTGGCCAAGAGATGAGTTCTGGTATCACCTCTGCCATAACTGCAGCAAAGGTAAGCTATTCTTCCTTGAAAATGCTTCCATAAAAGATCGTTGTCAAGCATTTGAACTGGAGACACTGCACCCGGGCCCTGCTGAACAGTGCAAAAGGGAGAACTCTCACGAAATGAGAGAGAAGACTACAATGTTTTGTTGACTAAGAAAATTCCCAGAGATTCCATTATCTCAAGGAGTTGAAGCTGCTCTGCAGTTTTGCACATGCCTTGAGACCAAGGGGTTTCTTGGATTTGCTGCATCACAGATACTTTGTCTGGGCAACCTGGAGAAAGAGGGATCAGCCATGGGGCAAACAGGCTGAATAAGCAGAATAACACCGGCATCAGGTCTTTTGTAAACTGTTTCCAAAAATATAAACAAACCTGTGATCTAACTTGGTTTGAATTGTGAAAATATTAAAGTTCATTGGGTCAAAATCCAAGATCTTTACACTTTGGGGAATGGCGAAACTACTGGATTCAGCCTGAGCCAAGGCATTTTGAGTTTTGAAAATGTTCCTACTTCAGAGTTGCTTCTTTTATTCCAGGCCTCCTACAACTCATGCTTGTCCTGTTCAAAATTTCTGTTAGAAATGTTGGTTGCCACAGGCAAATGCATGAGAATTTAATAGCTAGATTAATAATTCATTCTCCTTCTCCCATGCAAAAAAATGGAGAAATTGCTCCATTCAGTTGCACGGAGAAGCAGGAGAGAGAGTAGCTGCAACCAGGTTGAAAGAAAGGAAGCACAGGTTGCATTGCGCACTGACACACCGGCTGATAAGCCACAGTGAGCAACCCGTGGTATGCCCATAGATGATCAGGAATACTGTGGGCTGCTTGTCTCATCCCTATTTTCTTCACTGTGGACAGCTAATGGGCTGGACTGGACTTTTTGCATGCTTTCAGGCGCTAGAGTCTTGAACAGGGC